TTGGCACCATGTTCATTTCTCATACAACTATAATATCATTTTTATGCACAGTAGAGTATAAAAATTTGTGAAATTTAAAATATTTATTACCATTTTTGCTAATCTAGTCATCTTTTCATAATTATATTGTTCTCGTAAAATCTGTAAGATGGAAATTCAAATTCCAAAAACAATTTTTATTTTTTGTGAACTTGAATTAAGAGATTTACATAACTTATTTCTTCACAAATTTATTATATCATATTTAGCTATGTGAAAATTACAAAATCCTTGTACATGGATCAGAGGAAAAGAAGCTCTCATTTACCAAACAAAACTTAAAAATTTCTAAATAAATTTTGCAAAATATAATCCCCTTCTTCCAATAATACCCTTAGCTTTTTCTTTCTACGAAAAAAAAAATAATAATATAACAAAACTAACTGAGATGATGACTTCTAATTTAATTTTAAATAGAATTGTGCAAATTTTACTTTCAAAAAATATTTCATTCTCGTATTTCCTAAATCTCAAATTACACGATTACTATTTTTTTTTTCCAAATGAAAACAAATAAAAACTATGTTTCTTTTTCACTTGAATCTTCAAAGAAAAGAATAAAATCAAAATGATTCTTATTTGACACCATATTCACTCATCCTTGAAGTGTAACATCATTATTTTGCATGATACAAGTGAAAAATTGTGAAATTAGAAATATTGATTATCATTTTTTGCAAAATTACTAATCCTTTCATAATTCTAATGTTGGTAAAATTTGCCAAATAAAAGTTCAAATTCCAGAAATGTCTTATTTTCGGCAAAGTTTATGTTACATTCTAGTTGACCTAAGCATATTTGAAGTAATTCACATAACTTATTCATTACAATTTATATTATCGTGTACATAATTTTAACTATGTGAAAATTATATAATTGTTCAATTTTAACTGTAAACCAATTATCTCACTTACATGACTATCAAGTATATGGTCTTAAGTTGCGCAATAATTCAAAACCATCTACACCTCATTCGATATTTAATATCCCGTCTTAAAACAACCTAACCCCAAAACATAAATCTTTCATATTGGCCATAATCACTGATAAAGAACCTATTACTTGTAATCAACCCATCAGACATCTTTGTAGGAAAAA